TAAAAGGGAAATTAAAAGTGAATATAGGAAAAAGTAAGACTATGAGGGTAACGAAAATATTAGGTAATGAAAGGCTGGATATCAGACTGGAGGGAGAGAGTATGGAGGAGGTGAATGTATTCAAATATTGGGAGTGGGACGTGTCAGCAGATGGTCTATGAAAAATGAAGAGAATCATAGATAGACAAGGAGAAAAAGGTGAGTGGTGCACTGAGGAGTCTTGGAGACCTAGAGTCTATCTGGAGGGTATTCAGGGGAGCAACGCCCCCGCGGCCCGGTCCACGACCAGAACTTTATCCATGGAACTAAAGAGGGAATGTGTGAAAGTATAGTTATACAACGATCTTATGGGTGTGAAGCATGGGCTGTGGATGTTGCAACGGAGAAGGCTGGAGGCAGTGGAGAAGTCATGTCTGAAGGCAATGTGGGGTTTGTGAATACAATGCAGAGAATCTGTAGTTTGGACTTTAGGAGGAAGTATGCGATTATGATAACAGTTATCCAGATTGCTAAGGGGAGGTTGTTGAGGTGATTTGGACATGTAGAAAGGATGGAACAAAATATATTGACTTCGATAGTGCATAAATCTGTAGTGTGGGGGGAAGGTGGCATAGAGGTCGGTTTAGGAAATTTTTGAGGTTGGGGTAAAGGAGGTTTTGTGTGCGAGGGGCTTTGACCTCCAGCAAGCATGTGTGATCATGTTAGATGGGAGTGAATGGAAACAAATGGTTTTTAGGATTTGACATGCTGTTCGAGTGTGAGCAAAGTAACATTTATGAAAGGATTCAGGGAACCGGCAGGCCAGACTTGAGTCCTGGAGATGGAAGTACAGTGTTACACTCTGAAGGAGGGGTGTTAGTGTTGCAGTTTTATAACTGTAGCATAAGAGCGCCTCGGGCAAACAAGGGATGGAGTGAGTTATTGTGAAAGTTTTTATTTTTAGGGCCACCCTGTCTTGGTAGGAGGCGGCCGATGGTTAATGAAAAAAAAATGCATATATGCACCGCCTACATGGATATTTTGACTATGAAAGCTGCATTTGGTTAATAGTTGTGACATTTCCAGCTCATTGTTGCTAGACTCAAGTTATATATCTAATTCAAAAACTACTATACCTCGTATCATTTCGCTTCCACATCATTTCAAACAACTAGCATATGTAGCAGACTACTTAACACATTTTTAACCAATTATTTAACATGTTTTTAGGCTCAGAAGAGCCTTTAACCTCAGATTTTAGTTAATCTTTTCACGAAAGATAGATATAGTTTTATCAAAACACTTTTGTGCAGTATCATTGGTCATGCAGTGAGTTGAATGCCAAATATCAAATTGAACCTTATCACGCAAATTACCAATGCCAGAAAAGAAAAGAAAAGTCACTGGCTACTAGGGGAAGAACAATTTTCGCTCCTGTTATCTGAACATGTCTTCCAACTCCAAAGTTAACAAATTTGGGTAAATACATATTTGAGAACAAATAATCATATTGAGGAGTTGGTGGAGCTGCAGAGAGTTTCATCAAGTGAGACGTTCTCTGGGAGAATCATTCTCCTCATCACTATATCTTTAAATACTTGCTTGTTTTCTAGTTTTTCTCGGAATTCAGTGTCGAACTGCTTAGCATACTTCCAGAAGTTATCCTTTACATTGTAAGGGGTTGATATGGTGTGTGATACTGCAGAAGTATGATAACCCATTGGCAACACTTTGGAATAGCCTGTCATGTAACGGCGAAGATCAATGGAATGTAAGCTGTTAATATTGTAGACGTCGCGTAACACGCCAGCCTCCCTTACTAGCTCAACTAATGCAGTGTTCACTATACCAATAAATCCTGAGTTAAAAGAGATGTCATGAGATCTACACATGTCATAAAACTTCTTAACTTCAGAGGTGTCTAGTATGCCACATTCTAAGTAATCTGTCGTAACATTAGTTGCTTCTGGAGTACCAAATGCTTCTATGAGTAGAGGTGTGTGTTCATTATTTTTAAGTTCATTAAGAAATAATTTCAACTTTTCGGGATCCTTTTCAAGATCTACTTTCACTTGTCGTTCAATCTCTGTTGTCTGACTGTGGTCTGTAAGTTGTCCAAGTTGCTGATTATCAATAGGTTTTTTGCTGATGTAATCATCAAGAAGCTTCACAAACAACGTAGTAATTGAAAACAAACTAGGACCATCAATTACACCATGATGAAAATTAAACATCAATTTGTTCCTATATGGAAACTTTTCGTTCAATTCCGGCCAGATACAAGGGGTGTCGGTTGGCGACGGCAGAAGTCGAACTTGCCAGAGTGGTCCATCAGTCAAGTTGAAGTTAGTGTCGACCATAACCTGCCATTCTTTTAATGAATCTGGACCGTCAACAACCTGAAGGACAGGATGAACAAGATTAATACAAAGCTGAAATTTTATGACAGGAAGATAATGAAAGGTAATCTTGAAGTATTTATGGCTACGAACACCTGGTACAGTGTTTTAAATGAGTCATATAACAGAATCATGATTCATCTTGTCGAGAAACTTACATATACATGTATGTCAACTAATCCAATTCTCCCAGATTACTGATATCCAAATACTCGTGATAATTTTATCAGATATATAAAACCTAAAGTAATTAATCAATGTTCCTATATAACTGCAACAAATAACCAAAAAAGTTTGATAAAAATAAACACTTTGATTACATAACTTGCAATATAATTCACTAGATTCCCATTAACGTTTTGGGTTATTTATTCACCAGAATGGATAAAAACACAAAGGAATGCTTAATCAGTATTAATTAGATAAATTGTCTTCAAATTGTTAGTGAGAGATTATTTTCAAGTTCCACTAGTCATTAATATGACGACACCTGGAAAAAAAACAGAAATAAGATGGAACACAAAAGAAAGTAAGTAGTAAGTATTTAAAAATTTGACCTGCATACTGACAACGGCAATTATTTTGATGGTGAAGCAGTAGTTTTTAAACCTCCATACTGAAACGTGGTCTTCCCTCCTAGCCATATGTTTTTAGCTCATCTGTGTTCAACCATCTTGCAAATTTTGAGACAACATTCATTTAATGTTGAAGAAATGCTTGGTTTAGTCAATACTATAAATGTCGTATAATTGTTTTCTTAATATTCCAAGTTAAACTTTACTCTGAAGTGTTTGCACATTATTGCTCGAGTAAATCACTCTTTCAAAGATATTTTATGATGTAGGAAACTAGGGGTACTGATCTGTAATTTTTAGTTAGTTCTCTTTTCTTCCTTTACACAAAGGGGCTATTTAAGGTCTCTGGTATTACACCTTGATGATGAAGTCTCGTACTAGTGGTATTTCTCACTTTTTTTTATATGAATAGTAAATTTATGACTCTGGTCAAGGTGCTGAGTCAGTGGACATGTTTTCAATTTCTTTCTCGAATTCTTTTTAATTTGTAATAATATCAGTTAGTTGGTCTGCCTGCCTTCCGATGGAATGAAAAGTGTTTCTGCATTCTCCACTTGCTGTCATTTAGTGGGATGCTGAACACCGACTCTTATTGTCTTTTAGAAATTCGCTCATTTCCCGTTAATCGTCAGATACGAATCTCCTTTCATTCAGGGTCCAGTTTACAGGTATTTCTTAGCTTGGATTTTTCATGTGACTGGAATATTTGGGGTCGCTTACAGTTACTGGATGACCTTTCGTTCCCTCCGTGCTTCATACATTTACTACTACTATCTACTACTACTACTACTTAAAACTACTACTACTACTAATAATAATAATAATAAAAATAATATTAAAATAATAAATTATTATTATTATTATTTTAGTAGTAGTAGTACTAGTGTAGTAATAGTGTAGCAGTAGTAGTAGTAGAAGTAGTAGAGCAGTGGGTGTAGTGGTAGTAGTGTAGTAGTAGTAGTAGTAGTAGTAGTAGTAGTAGTAGTAGTAGTTATTTGTTATTAAATATCAAATTATTTCCAGAAATAAAGTTGAATTTGCTTTTAAATTTTTTTACTTGTTTCGTTTCTTTGTAAACTTTTGAAAGAATGATACTTAACAGAATGTACAACAGAATCAGACACCAACTTTCCCCCTACCTATATGGGTTCATGAAAGGTAAAAGTGTGCAAAACCCTGTATTTTCCACCTTTCTCACTGCTAGTTTTACACATTTCCTGATCTAAAATCTGAATTTGATATCGTGAATAGAACCGTTATACTCATGAACTAGCCAAATAAATATTGGTGGTAGCTTACTCTGCTGGATATAGGATACCTGTCAAATAGACTATCCTCTGTCTCTACCAAGGCTTTAGAAGCGAGTCTAAAGGAAATTTCCCCTAGGTACACCGCATGGGGGGAGTTCTCAGTCCCCATGCTATTTAATATTCTGATTAATGCTCTCCTAAATGCTCTACCTGCCTCACCTAAACATATAGCTATAAGTTATGCTGATGACATCATGATCCACACAACAAGGCATAAGAAGATGAGTACCATTCTTAATGAAGTTCAAGCAGTTTGTAATCGACTAGGCCTCATAATATCTTCCTCTAAAACAAAGATATTAACAAGCAAACGACATACCCCACCCATCCATTTGCAGGGTGAAAACATTAGCTACGTTAAAAATTACAGATATCTTGGTGAAGATGTACCCTTTAACAAATCCACTATACCAGAGCTAAATAAGAAATGTAAAGATAGGCTAAATGCTCTCAAAGCTGTTGCTGGTTACAACCCCAACTATGGTGCTAATGTGAGAATCGTGAGAATGATGTACATAGCCTATGTTAGGTCCTTAATTGATTATGCTGCTCCCATGTTGATATTAGCTAGAGAAAGTTCTCTCTGACACTTGGAGTTAATGCAAAATGAAGCTCTCAGAATTATTCTTGGCTTCCCCAAATCTACAAAGGTTCTTAATATGAGGAAGGAGCTTGGTATTTTTAACACTACTCGGCATTAGAATTTTAAGAAATGAACCAGACACTGTCACAATGAACCTTACTAAGTGTCTCAAAGTTAATAAACACAGATCTAAATGGATTGTGAAAACATGCAATTTCATTAAGTTTTTTAAAACCCGGGATGAAAATGGTTATCACTGTAGACAAAAAGAGCATTTCAAACCCTCCATTTGGAAGATGTGCTCATTTAATATCTGAAAGTCCCTCCCAAGAAGCTCATTGCTAGTAATTCCTTCCTTAAATCACTTGTAAAAACAACTGCTCAAGAAGAAATTTCTCGCCTGCTGGTATAATAAGTTATCACAAATTATTACACTGATTTGGATCTAAACAGGAGTCTTCTGACAGGGCTGCATCTGCTCTTGTGTGCCACCTCCCCCAGTTAAGAACGATAATAAACTTGTTGAAAATAGGGATAAGAAATTACAACTTGGCGTCTACATTGAAAAATTTAATTGTTTGCAATCGTAATGGCGCCAAAGCTAACTTATGACACTGAGCTTGACTCTATCATCATTACTGATTCTATATCATCACTGAATGCTCTTAACTCATAAAATGACTTCAACAACATGCTCATTGGAAAAGCCAGGTGTAGACACTCAAAAATCAGGGACAAAAGGGAAATTTAAAGCACAATTGTATGGATCTCATACACCCTTGGAATACTCCCCTTCATGATAAAGTTGATATGTTAGCCAAGAAGAGTACCCAGAAGGAGAATGTAGAATATAACATCGGTATATCTGTGTCTAGCATTAGGAATAATATTAGGAGAGAAGTAAATAATGAAAATGATTGTTATAAGAATGCAGTTAGAAGCCTGGGTAGATCTATAACCCACTATGATAACATGAACATAGATAAGTATGTTTATGGAGCAATGTGCAATGTGAAACAGACTGACTGATGTTGTAGTGGCCAGGCTTAGGCTTGGTTACAAGTACTGACTGATGTTGTAGTGGCCAGGCTTAGGCTTGGTTACAAGTACTTCTGGCAGTTTGGGAGACACATAGATGATGATCAAACTAAATGCAAATTATATGATCAGGCATATGGTCACTGTCTTGAACACTAAGTGCTTAATTGTCCACTTATTGAGGAATACAGAGACAGACAGTATAATAACCTATGTGACATGTCAAGATATCTAAATTAATGAAAATAAGACACCAGATTTTACTAAGCAAATTTCCCTAAATTTGTTTGTAACAGATAAGTGAACTATAGACACTAGATATAAATCCATATGTACACCTGTTAACCCTTTGGGGCCTAGTTCCTAGGTCTTTTGTGTATCCATATGCTTTTGCACTACAGTCCCAGGATGGATATGGGGGCACAATAAACTAGCCATTTCGGTGGCAAAATCTAAAAAATCTTGAATATATCTAGTAAAATTTACAAAATCTTCAATTATCCGAGTAGGTCGTCATAATATATCGTTTGAAGACAAGTGGTAACTCGTCTTAGTGAACACAATATATAGTGTATCATTATATTATGGCTCGAAAAGCTTCTTTTTCAAACAAGTGAAACGAACTTTATTTAGAGGCCAGAAAGCGTAAAATAATATATAAGGAAATATATTCGACAACTGGTATACATATTATATTGCTAACAGTGTATATTAAATGATAATTTACCTTAAAGTCTAAGGCAGGTTTGGGCATGGAACAATGCCACCACTGGTCGTCCCGCTGACGAAAACATGTCCTCAACACCTCAACTTTGCTGATAACAACAACATATTGTTAATTCCTTTATTACATTTTCCACTGATGTTTTACTAGCGTTTATTATAGTTCAGTATTAAACCATATTATATTTTACTAATTAAAGCATCCAAACATAAACTTTTAATATGATTTACAAATTTTCTTTTGTACAAATAAAGCCAATTAGAGTGAAAGGAAAACGAATGTTGAAATTCGCTTGTAAAGTATTCTCTAATTAAATCAAACTTTTTCGTCACAAATTTTACTCTTTCATTAACATAAAGAATAATAATTAACATTCACACTATAACAAAAGTCCAGGACTTACACAGATTATAAGATGACAAACACTGTAGGTTTATAATGTCAGTTTTATGTGAGGATGAAGATTGTGGGAGGTTTTACATCTGAACAAAATGAATATTCATAATACAAATGTATTATGGAGTATATGTTGATACCATAAGAAAAAATTATAAAAAGAAATTGATAAAGAAAAATTAATGTAACCTTAAAGATCGTTGTTGCCATGGGTACTTATGTCTTGAGTAAGTGATGAGTGTCTTGAGTAAATGATGAGTGTCCTGAGTAAGTGATGAGTGTCTTGAGTAATTGATGAGTGTTTTGAGTAAGTGATGAGTGTCTTGATTAATTGATGAGTGTCTTGAGTAAGTGATGAGTGTCTTGAGTAAGTGATGAGTGTCCTGAGTAAGTGATGAGTGTCTTGAGTAGTTGATGAGTGTCTTGAGAAAGTGATGAGTGTTGTTGAGAAATGGAATTACCAGCTAAGTTTAAATATAGGAAAAACTTAACTTAGAAAGACAACTCATCGCCTGCACAGCCGCCCCTGCAGAAGAGGTCTTGAGAAGCTGTCGAAGTCATTCCTCAATGGGCTGAAATGAGTTATAATTTGTAAGATTATAAATTACCCCTAGGGGGTGTTATGTCAGCATATTTCATTCACTGATTGCTGACAAACTTACTTGTGTGGACTCAAAAGTCCGCCCCTTACTGCCGACTATAGGTTGATTACAAACTCCTTGTGACTCAAGAACTGCTCAGTCCCCAGTACTAAAAGGAATTCGTAACCTACCTTGCTCTTGTAGCATGAGCTATGGTGTTCTTCACACCTTTGGCAGATATCGGTGACTTGATAGAAGCTCAAGTGTCCTTGGATGTCCACGTCTTCCATAGTCTAGGAAAACGCACACTGGTAGACTATGTTCCACAAGATTTGTCTTTATTGTTCACAATCCTATCACTAAAGAAGCTGACCACACTTCTCTGTAAGTGTTTATCGTGTTTTGTGAGACACTTTGTTCACACTAACGCACAGATCGTTCTTTGTTGGTTATCCTGGCATCATTGTCACTCTCAGTAGAGTCAAAAGTAATCTGAAGATGCCACAGCGCCCCATGCCGTTGCTGCCCCCAGCACAAAGGAAAAGCTGACCTAGTACTTTTGCTTCCTTGCCACTTCCTCGATGAAGCAAAGCAGAATGTTTAAATCTTGCTGTCTTAAGCATAGACAACAATGTCCACTATCTTTAGTATGGTAACAAAGTGGGAGTAGGATTTTCCTTAATTGTCCAGCTACGGTAAGAGATGTACTGTCTCTTATTAAAATACACTCTGCAACACTGGACTGCAAGAAGTGGCGGTCGCTTGACCACAGGTCGTATACTAGTACTGCATCTGGGATCAATTACTCGCTGTAGCAGTAAACAAGATATTTGCCCCTTCTGAGAGGGCTGGGTCCCTCAGGGCTGAAAGAGGCTGAAGGGGCTGAAGGGGGCTGATACCCCCCTCCTGGAGAAAATTTCTCCACACTGGCGGGCGGCGGAGGCTCGTTGCAGGTGAACTATTCATCACTTAACATTAATTTGATTTTCTCACTCGCCACCACTGTTGCTTGTCTTTTCTGAACAGCTTTAGTCTGTGTGGTTTCTGGAGAATCACTAATTTTGTTTTCAACACTGTGTAATTCTAATGGCACTAGTTTATTTATTGTCTGCTTATTCACAACACCTTTGCTTAAAACATCAACTGTCCTGATGATTCCATTTGCATCAGGATATATGGTCACAATTTTTCCAATTGGCCATTGGGACCTTGGACCATCAATGTCAATAATCACTATGTCACCAGGTCTTAAGGACTTATGATTTTCAGGAACACCAGCTCCATAGAAGTGCTCTATCAATGAGGTAAGATAGTCTTCTCTCCAAAATTTCTCCCAACGTTCAATCACTTTATTAAGGTGTTTGAATTTACGTCTTAGTTGCTCAGGTTCGAAATAAGTAGGAACCTCTATGATTTCTTTGTCATTCATGGGAGTAACAGGTTCGAGAATTCTGCCATGGAGTAAATGAGATGGACTTAACACTTCTAAATTGTCCAGATCATTGGTAACATAAGTTAGAAGTCTGTTGTTGACTCTATTTTCTAATTCTGTCACAACTGTACGGAATTCTTCTAAGTCGATTATTTGACGATGAAGAGTCTTCCTTAAACAACGTTTTACAATGCCGATCATTCTTTCACAAAATCCGCCGTGCCATGGAGATTTCGGAGGAATGTATCTCCAACGACAACTGCGTTGATTCAGCATCTGTTGTACTTCTGGTTGATCAAAGATCTTGCTTATATAAGCAGCACCAGCAACAAAGTTCGTTGCATTATCTGAAATCATCAGTCTGGGACATGCCCTTCTGGCTGCAAACCTTCTGAATAATTTGATAAAGGTTTCAGCAGACATGTCAGTGGCTACTTCTAGATGTACTGCTCTAGTTGTAGCACAAGTGAACAAACAGATGTACACCTTGATGGGAACTTTGTCAAACTGTTTTGGTTAAAATTATTCGTCCAGTGTAATCTACACCTGTCACCTCAATGGAGTGATATGACAAAACTCTTTCAGAGGGATATGGAGGTGGACCTGGATACTGATATACTCGCATATCGTAGTGACGACAAGTAATACAGTCCCTTATTTGTTTTTTCACACTTTGTCGACCTTGAGGTATCCAGTAGGATTGTCGTATATGACAAAGTGTGTCAGCTACCCCACCATGTAACACGTTACTGTGGGCGTTCTGCACAATCAGTTTTGTTAGCCAATGATTCTTGGGGATCAATATTGGATGTATGGCATCTTTAGGTAGTGAAGAATTATAAATTCTTCCTTGACATCTTATAAACTTTTCTGAGTCGAGATAAAGTCCTAAAGAATTAATCATAACAGGTTTCTTTGGGGATTTATTTTGTGTTTCTAGAAATTTATATTCTGTAGAGAAAACATCTTTCTGTAATAGTTTCACCCAGTATTTAATGGGTACAAGACATTCATAATTAGGTTTTATTCCTTTAATGAATTTAAAGACAAGAGCTGTAACTCTTAAGAGTTTACCCAAAGATGAGTTTTTAGATCCATCAATGACTATTTCTGTTGTGTCTGCAGTATTTACACAACTTATTTCTGCTGTGTTCAAGCAGACTGTTTCTTCTGGCATAATGTGAGCTTTTTGCTGAGACCAGTTATTTTCATTAGAGAGCCAGTTTGGTCCGTGGAGCCATAATTTATTATCCACAAATTTCTTGAGTGGGACACCAGGGGACAACATGTCAGCTGGATTCTCTTGGGTAGAGACGTGGAGAAAGAGATAATCTCTCTGCATCTCTTTTATTTCTGCTACTCTGTTCTGTACATAAGCCAACTTACTCTTATTATTTCTTAACCACTGGAGAACTGCTTCATTATCACTCCAGATCACGGTTTTTTTAATAGTGAGATGATCAAGTACTTTGTTGAGATAGACAGCTAATTTTGTACCTACATAGAGTGCTGTCAGTTCCAATTGTGGTACTGTTCTGACCTTCAAGGATGCTACCCTGGCCTTTGAAGAATTAGTGTACTTTCTTCAGCATTACTCATGTAAGCTACAGCGCCATAACCTCTGGTTGACGCATCACAGAACACATGTAATGTGTACTTGTTTCCCTCTTGACCTTTTTGTCTGGGAATTTTAATTTGATGAAGTTGTTTAAACTCCATGGATATTTCATCAAATGCTTGACTCATTTCTAGAGGCAAGTTCTCATCCCATCCAATTTTGAGTTTCCATGCATCTTGCATAAGTAATTTACCCTTTATGGTAATTGGTGAGACGAGTCCTAGAGGATCAAAACATTGTGATACCTCTGACAGTAAACTACGTTTAGTGAGTGTACTGCATGATTTATTGTTTATCTTTTTGAGACTCAAAGTATCTTCCTGTGTGTTCCAATTAAGTCCCAGCATATTGTTGCAATCAGGAATTTCAACTTCAGGGAAATTTTCTTTGATAAGTTCCCTTAATTGCTTTGAATTAGTATTCCACATCCTTAGAGGCATATTTGCTTCTTTCATCTCCTTGTTAGCTTCTCTGTATAAGGATTTCAAATCCTCCTCTTTATTCACACTACCTTGAAGATTGTCCACATAGAAACTTTTCTTTAAGATTTCTTTGAAGGGACTTTCAGATTTCTTCAAATGTGTATTCAGAGTAGCTTCTAGTAAGAATGGAGAGGATGTTGCACCAAATAATACTGATTTGAAACGATAAGTTTTCACAGGACTTTGAGGATCATGTTGATTTTCAGGCCACAAGAATCGAGTATAATCTCTATCTATTTCTTGTAGTCCTACTCTTAAGAAAGCTTAGGAAATATCAACTGTGTAGGCATATGTGTTTGTGCGAAATTTCATAAGCACGTCTCCAAGCTTCTCAGTTAGTGAGGGTCCGGTCATCAGACAGTCATTAAGACTTGCTACATCTTTATTTGCACCTGCACTGCAATTATATACAACACGTAGTGGAGTGGTTTCAGAATCTTTTCTGACTCCATGGTGCGGCAGATAATGAGCTTCTGTCTTAAACTTATCTTCGACTATTTCCTCAATGAATTTATTGTCCAACTGTTCTTGTATGATATTATCATAGACAGTCAGTAGCTCTGGATTCTTCCTGACCTCATG